CACTGGGCAAGGCAGTGGAATTGTCATATTCATTAAAGTGGTACAGTAAGCCTACCATACCTCTTCCCTTCTTGATTTGCTTCTTTGGAGAACACAACCATTCTCATGGCTTCTCATCGCTGAGTTTCCATTCACCCTAAACATTTCTTGATCTCTTGCTCATTCCTCATCTCTTCATGTCCCTCTTTCTCTAGCTTCATCTACCTGACCTCCTAAAATTTATCATTTTCTCCTTAGCATTTCCTCTTTTGGAGAACCCACCCAATCTCATAGCTTCTTATCACTGATTTACTCTACAAACATCAGAGAGTGTTTACTGTATTGCATGGGTTGTCCAATGCAGTGGGTTCACATGTATGACTAAGGCAATGTTCTTGTCCTCAAGGAAATTAGAACTGACTTGGGGAAAAGAAACAAAAACAAAAACAAAAACAGTTATTGAGTTATAGCTAGAGCAGTGAGCCCAGGGGAGGATTTAAGGGATATCTGAGTCATAACTGAGTAGGAGATAATCAGTGTTTAAACACACATATACGCACACACATATAGTATATAACATATACTACATGATTATGTAACATATAATATATAATATATATGTAAGGGTCTTCCAGAAAGCAACATGCAGAAGATATGAAGGGAATGAGAGTATGACAGGAAAACTTCTACTTCTCTATGAGCAAAACAGATTTCTTACACAAACTTAAACATTTTCAGTATTTCCTAAGACGTCACCTAACTGCCTTTTTGCAACATTAAACTCAATATGCATAAACGTACTCAAAAGCAGTGCTAATATATAATGAAAGCCACATATATAGTTTTAAAACATTTAATATCCATAATTTTTAAAAGTTAAAAGAAGCAGGTAAAATTAATTTTTTTAAGATTTTTTATTTATTTATTTGAGAGAAAGAATGAGAGAGAGAGCATGAGAAGGGGGAAGGCCAGAGGGAGAAGCAGACTCCCTGCCAAGCAGGGAGCCCGATGCAGGGACTCGATCCTGGGATTCCAGGATCATGCCCTGCGAGCCGAAAGTCCACTCTTAACCAACTGAGCCACCCAGGCACCCAGTAAAATTAATTTTTAAAAATATTTTATTTAAGTAAATATATCCAAAGTATTATAATTTCAATGTGTAATTAATATAAAACTATTAAAGGGGTATTTCAAATTATGTAAACTAACTCTTTAAAATCCAGTGTCTATTTTTCAATTATAGCATGTCTCATTTCAAACTAGCTACATTTCAGGTATTCAATAGCCACATGTGGTCAGCAGATACCAAATTGGATAGCACAGCTCTAACAAAACTAAAATAGTAAAGTACTGGCACATGAATAAACATACAGATGAATGAACCAACAACAAAACAAAGTACCAAAGAAAAAAGAACCAAATAGAAATGACAATTTATTATATTATAAGATGGTATCTCAAATCAGTGATATAAAGATGAAATTTTTTAAATGATACTATAACAAGTGGGTAAGCATCAAAACACAAATGTTGATCAGATAAATTCCAAATGGATCAAAGATACAAATGTAAAAGTAAAATCATAAAAGTATTAGAAGAAAATACAGACAAATTTCTTTATAAGCTTGGAGGAGTAAGTTGTCTCTAATTCCAACTCAAAAATCCACAAACCAAGAATAAAAATTAATAAGTTATAATACATAAAAAAATGCTCCAGAAATAATTTTAAACACAAAGGATAAAATCGAGGGGGAAATGTCACCTGGTGTCAGAAATAAAGGACTAAGCTCCTTAATAAATAAATAGCTTCAAGATATGGAGAAGGATCAGCAATACAATAAGAAATTAGGCAAAGGATTTGAATAGATAGTTTTCAATAATTGGAATGCAAACTCTTAAATATATGAAAATTTCTTACCTGTCACTTTTTACCTATCATACTGACAAAAATGCAGAAGTGTAAAATAATACACTCTGTTGTCAAAGCAATGGGAAAATAAGCACTCTCACAAACTGCTAGTGAGAATATAAAGTGGTACATGCCCTGTGGAGGGTATTCTGGCAATATCCATCAAAATCACTAATGCTTTGTACTCTTTAACTTACTTAAACAGACTCAGATATCCTTTCACAAAAACAAAATGACCAATATACTAGGGTGTTATTGGAGCATTGCTTGTAATAGCAAAAAGTCGGATGCAAACTAAGCGTCGTTCAATAGAGAACAGCTAAACAAACTATGGTACATATATACAATAGCATGCTATGCAACTACTAAAAAAGCCAATGAACAAACAAAGGTTGAGCGTCTCTATACACAGACATGACAAGAACTCCAAAACATATCTGAAATGAAAAACTCAATGTGCAGAACATACACACATGTATATACATGTATATGGATCTCCCGAGAGCCTTCTTAATCTTAATTAAGATATTTCCCTGGCTTCTTTAGACAATACTCACTGATAAATGTTTCTAGTAGCACAATTACCAGTTACAATGTGTCCTGTTTTCTTTATATTTAACAATTGCAGCTTATTGCACTTATTTACTTATGATCCTTTATTTATGACACTACAAAATTAGTGATAATAATGTTAATATCCCCAAATCAAAAGACTGTATATGATAGAAGAAAAGGATAAGAATCTGAAGTCAAGCTTTTCTGTATTCTTATCTTACCTCTGTTATTTTCTGTCTGCATGAATTTGGATAAATTATTAACCTTAATCCTCAGTTTTCTAATTTGCAAAATGGGTACATAGTACTATTTAAAAGAATTGTTGTAGGATTAAATAACATTTTCGTCTATTAAGCACATAACCACATTAGGCTTAAATATTTTTCCTAACCACCTACGTTGTTTTCTGCCCTGGCATCTCTAACAGTGTAAGATTAAATAACAAGGGAATGTTTAAAAGCTTGGACCTATTAAAAACCAGCCCTACAGTTACTGAGATGATTCTCCACCCCCCACCCCATGCACACACATTATTTAGTCACTTCCTCTTTTTTAAATATTCCATTAAAAACAGTCTTTTTCTCTTTAGTTTATGATTGATTATCCGGGAAAAGGCCGGTAATGCTCTTTGTGAATAATGCTACATGTTGAATTGAGAACAAAATAGCTGAACAGTCTGAGGCAGTTCTAGTTGGCACACAAATCAATTATAGATCATCATTTAACAGAAACCAAAACACAGACACTCACTAGAGAACCAATTTTGCCCTCAACCTCTTCCTGAAAGAATTGAGAAATATTATTTATAAAATTGTCAACCTATCCCATTGACTTGTAGTAAGGGAAAAAATACTTTGAAATATCAATAACACTATCATTTGGAGTCAGAAAAGGGCTGTCTCTATGGTATGTAACCATAGGAGTTACAGAAACTAAATTCTCTGCACCTTAAAGTATCATTTCATATAAAACACAGATGCAAGAGAATGGTATAACTTTTGGCATATCTGCTAACAGGTTACAAAAATGGGGGAGCATCAATGCTTGTCATCTCTGTGTACATGCCTCTTTGAAATATATGACTTTGCTGTTCCTTCAAGCAAAAGGTACAGTCAATTTCTCTACCTTCTTATATGTGGATGTGCCTTGTGACTCACCTTGACCAATAAAGTGTGGTGGGCATTATGTTAGGGAAGCTCCAAGTCTATTTTTCAAGAGATCTTGAAGCTTCCATTGTCACCTCTTTGGAAACCAAATGACACCATGTTTACTAAAGAAGCCTGAGCTAGCCTTCTTGATCATTAGAGATGACAAAGAGAGAGAAAAGAGCCCTATCAGCAACAGCAGGTGCAAGTGAGACCACCTTGGTTCATTTAGACCATTAAGCCTCCACCTTACTGTAGTCACATGAGTAACCTCAAATGAGAGCCCCAGAAAAGCCACCCAGCTAATTTCAGCTAAAATTTCCGAGGAAGAGAAACAGGAGCAAATAAAAGGATCATTTTAAGCTACTAAGGTTTTTGGTCTTGTTTTTGTTTTTCTGGGGAAAACAAGTGACACATTTTATTAACTCTCAATAAAGTTCTTCAGAAGATTAATATGTAAGATTAAATATATTAAATATTAAATATTTTATTAGAAAATTGCAACCTTGGGGTCCACAGAAAGCCAGGCTACATATATATACCAAAATCTGTTAGCTTCTATTGTTCTGGTTTATCATCCATAACTTGTTCTACATCTTCTACTTCTGTGGGAGCATGTTTTGAATTCCATTTCTCAGAGTGATGTTTGGACCAGGGCAGCTAGTAAAGAACCTCAGCATGTCAGCTGTACAATACCCACCTTGGATCCTCCAGAGATCACTTCTCCTTCTCACAGAGATGACCACATACTAACCTCTAACTACTACTTATTGTTGCCATAACTTCATGTTTGGTTTTGTTTCCTGAACCTACTTCTCCTAAAGATGTTTCTTCAGAAACAAGATGCAAAAACTCCGAAACTATTGCATAAATACCTGGCTTCATTAAGTTCCAGCCTACATTTTCACTTTCATTTGTGAAAGCCACGAAATCTGAACTAAAGAAGATATACCTTTGACTCCTTTAATCCTAAATATCTGCTTTACCAGGAGGGAGTAAAATGCCACAGGTGGAGTGGGAAAATCCATGGTCCTTGTCTCTGAAATTGGTTTTCTTCCAATAAACTTCAAACCAGTAGGATTTGGGGTATTTTACGCTTGAATAAACATATTTCATATGTAGTTCCAGCTAGCTGTTGTTCAATCATTCCCTTGCAGAAACAGAAATTGAAAGTGAACAACCATACATTTTACTTATATCACTGTTGTATAAAAAGATAGATATAGACATAAATATAGACCTCAATCACTTGGTGATTTAGTGACCAGGAAAACAGTTGGAAAAGTAGTCTTTATACATGCTGTTAAAAGGCTGTTTCTTAGTGGTATGCAAATTTATCATTGTGATGAAATCACTAGCATAGCCCTGCAGCAGTGGCCACGTCTTCCCCAAGCCACCACCATATGAAATGATTTGTTACACAGCATTAGATCGCTGATATACCCAACAAGATGGAGTCAGCATATTGTAGAGCAAAGAATACTGAAAAGAAAGAAGGTAATCTAGGTTCAAGTCCTGGTTGCACCATAGATTAGCCACAGGAAATTGGATGAACCTCTTCACCTCTTCAGACCACAATTCCTCCTGTGCATTGGGCAATCTTTTAAGTCACCTCAGCTCTAAAGTGGATGCTTCTAAGTTACTGTAGCTGACAACAGTTGTAGATCCAAATTAACTGAAGCTTTGATTTCAGATTATTGCTCATAACTATCTAGAAAGCTCAGATTCTCACCTGCTAAAGGAAGATGGCATCTGTTCTCTCTCTGAGAACAATGATTCTGCCAAAAGTCATTGAGATAGTTTCCCTTTACAAATTGAATAAATGCAGTATGATTAGGTGAATGGTACTGTCCTGTGTGTACAAAACTTAGACTAAACATGAATGTACAGAACACTTTAAACTTTTCCCTATTTCAAAGCAAAATTATTTTAAACAATCCTTAGTCATGGCAATAAATAGTTAATGAAAGGAATCTGCAGAAATATATAGAAAGGGCACCTGGGTGGCTCAGTTGGTTAAGCGACTGCCTTCGGCTCGGGTCATGATCCCAGAGGCCTGGGACCGAGTCCCGCATCGGGCTCCCTGCTTGGCAGGGAGTCTGCTTCTCCCTCTCACCTTACCCCCTCTCTTGTGTTCTCTCTCTCTCTCTCTCTCTGTCTCAAATAAATAAAAAAATTAAAAATCTTAAAAAAAAAGAAATATAGAAATACTAGACTGCAAATGCTGCAAGTTTTTGTAGTTCCCATTTCCTTATGTTCTCATATCATTTTAGGTAGCAAGAACTAAAAATGATACTGTGTATTATCCAAAATTCAATTCAGTTGTAGACATCATTGAATCTACTTATTTTATAGCTGGCTAAATGTTAATCAAGTTTTTTTAATGTAAATATTTCTCAGACAAACCATTTGTAATCAGTTTCAGAAAAGGCCATGGCATCAGTTTAAGTGCCCTTTATCTGGAGTCACATATCCAGAGTTGAGTCTAAAATCTCTCTCTTAGCTGTGTGACCCTGGACAAACAATTAACCTCTCTGAGCTGCAGTTTCCTGCTCTATAAAAAAGCAATGATGATGCCTGACCTGACTACTTCACAAGGATACTGTGAGGATCAAATCAGAGGATTTAGTGGAAAGGTTTTTACAAATGGTCTATTGCCAATATCCAAAGGAAAGGAAAAGTGAGGGGCCTAGACAGTTCTCAAACCAATGCAATGCCTGAAAGTCTGATGTATATCCATAAAGCTATAAAGTTTGGGACAGAAATGATTAACACCAGAAGTAGACTCTGTGTTTTCTTTTTTACGACCATTTCTGTTAATTGATTTTTTTCTCATTTTCATTTTTCTGCCCTTTTACTTCTTGTACCATGTGGCCTTCTTACTCATTCAATGAGTAACTCAACTTACTCATGTGTTGAGTAATAAACATTTACTGAACACCTAGTGCACATGGAAGGCAGAGATGGTCAAGATCTGATCCCTAGCTTGAGGAGCTCACATTCAAATGGAATGTCACACAAGAAGTAAGTCATCTCAAGGCAAAGAAAAACAGTCATAATGGAAAGATGGCCAAGATGCTAAGAGAGCAGATAGGAAGAGCAACTATATTTTCCAGGGGCAGAGAAAGACACACTGGAACAGCCCCTCAAAGTGAGCAGCATATGAGCTATATCTTGAAAGATGAGAAGAATTTTTCAAGGCAGACAAGGGACATTTGAGGTAAACTGTAAGATCCCAGTATATGCTAAGAACTGTAATTAATAATGATAAAAATTATAATTTTAAGAGCTAACATCTACCAATCATTTGTTATGTGCTACGGAACTTAGACCTTATATTTCAAAGGAAAGGAAAAACAATTTTTCCTACTACAGTATTTCACATACCAAATCTTCAATTCTTTTTTTATTTACATAACCTTTTGGCAAATTAATGCCACTAATTGGCACCTCAGTACCATGATGCCCGCCAATAAAAATTTACCTCGAGGCTATGCATTTAGCAATTTTGAAACTGTACCTTTCAGTTTAATGCAAAAGAGAACATTATTAATTATTAACAAATATCAGTTGTAATAATTTAACAATAATACATTTTAGGAGTCCAGTCTTTGTTCATAAGGCATTCAATCTTAAATAAAAATTGCAAATAAGATGCTAGCTATTGGAACCATTACCAATAGGCATTTAATCTTAAATAAAAATTGCAAATAAGATGCTAGCTATTGGAAACATTACCAATTTCACTTGCTCTTTCTCTGATATAGTGAAAGGGTATTATTTATCACACTAAGTATATATTATAATCTTCTGTTGATAGTAAAAGATCAAAGATTACCTTGCATCAAACAGAATTATGATGCATAACATTTTATCTTGTTACAGCTGATACCAATCACCAGGTGACAGTGAGCCGCAGAGCAGATTTTTCAGTCAATATCTCTGACATGCTGAAACATCTGAAACACAGCCACCAACTTCTTTGTGCTTTGGTTGTGAAAGTAAAAAGGGAGCATAAGCAAAAAAGGGGCTGATTGTTAACATTAACAATCAGCTAAATACCACTTGGTAAAGTTGCTAAATACCACTTGGTTTCTGAGTACCTAGCTAGTATTCTGACCTAGAACCTCCATCAATAAAGAAAAATCAGTGTCAATAAAAGAGAAAGTGGGGCATTGTTTTAAATGGAGCTGTAAGAATGGTAACATCTTCGATCAGAAGATTAGGGCAAAGACCCCCTCCTTGTTTAACTCTCTGGAGACACATATATTCCCACTCTTTCATCAAAGAGCTATACTAGGCCCTGACTAAAGTCACAAATCTCCTAAGCAAATCCTCTTTCTCAGGAAGGGTCACAGCCTCTCTCCTACATTTATTTTGAGTTATATCAGTGCTCGTTCAATGGGTAATCTGGGCCAACCTTTTCCCTTTCTTGTGATTTTGTAACTGCAGAAGACTTTTCCTCCCTTCTCATTATGTTGGTTTTGCCTTTTAGAGAAAGATACAGAAGGGCTCTTGAGTTTTTTGTAATGTTCAGCATGCACTCAACATTAGCAAATACTTAAACTACAGAAAGGAAAACATTGTAGTTGTAAAATCTTTGTTCATCTTCACATGTAAATTTTACAGACTGCTGATCCATGTAAAAAACTCAAGACTATATTGATTCCTTTGTCATACCTGCTTCTTTCTTAATATTTTTTAAATGGAATGACAGAATTAAAAAAAATTTATTAAAAATCCAAAACTAACCATTCTAAGGCCTGACCAGATAGTAAAATATTTAGCATTTGGAAACTGTTATATCATTTACCTTAAAAACCTTTGCCTACCCCATGAATCATAAAATCATTTGCCTGAAAATTTTTTTTTTTTTTACTTATGACAAGATGGTCATACACTGCATCATAGAGAAGCCTTCCCAAACTTACACACAGCAAAACCTTCCCAAACTTGCAAAATGATTGGATAGGGGCATTCATTTTTATGCAAACTATATGCATATTCATATAAAACAGTCTGAAAAATGTATCAGATATAATTAGCATGTTTATGAATCTATTTGCTCTGCTATTAAGTAACAAATTTGTAGTAACCATGGCAACTGCAACATCACAGGCACAAGTTCTATTTTTGTAATATGAGTACCTTTCTTAAAGCAACATTCATGCTCAGACTCTACATTTTTAAAATATTAAAAGAAGAGTTTTTAGAACATTCCAATTTTCATTATGTAAGGGCACATTTTATATTTTTAGTTTATTTTAAATTAAAATCAGTTTCTTTTTTGTTGGATGATGTCTGTGTGTGTGTTTGCCAAAAATAATATTGAAGTATAAAGGAAAAAACATGAAATATTAGGGGCATGTTAATACATATGGTTGTAGGATTGTTACCTTTTATTTTTTTCATTTTTTAGGATTGCTACCTTTTAAAATTCCATTTCATTTGAAACACTAAAAGCATATTCATTTTCCATGTTTGTCTTTTTAAATGTAAGTCATGTATAGATTTCCCATTTGATTTTTATTTAGATTTTCTGCTTCAGTCTTAATCATTATGTTTTATCAAAATTTAAGTAGTAACATTTTCCTCCACAATCAATTTGGGGAGGTGTTTTGGTTAATACTTTTGTTAAAAGAAATTAGTTGAACTATTACTTGTTTTTATCATCTTAAGTGCCATCACTTATAGACACGTCCGTCACCCTGGGCATTTTATGTAACCTTCCCAAACCTCACTTTGCTTCCCTGTAAAACAGAGATAATAATAATACCAACCAATAATACCAATACCAATAGGATTGTTGAGAAGGTAAAGTCTGAAAATGCCAGTATGATGAACATACTTTCCTATTCTTTTAAAATTGCAATTCTACATTCAAGTGTATTTTGTTCTGAAAATCAAATCTAATGCTGAACCGAACAGTTTCAAATAATACAGACCCTACAAATATCTGATTTCTGTATTTTCTCAAAAAGTGGCAGAGGTAAAATGGGTGTTTGAGAAATTGGGATAATAAGATTGGATAAAGGAAGCAACTCTTTAAAAAACAAAAACAAAAAAGGGGGTGCCTGGGTGGCTCAGTCAGCTAAGCCTCTGCCTTCAGCTCAGGTCAAGATCTCAGGGTCCTGGGATGGAGCCCCACACTGGGCTCGCTGCTTAGCGGGGAGTCTGCTTCTCCCTCTTCCTCTGCCCATTCCCACACCTCTCTGTCTCTGTCTCTCTCAAATAAATAAATAAAATAAAATAATTCTGGTGTGGGTTTGAGACCCAAATCAGTTTCCACTAAGCCTCATTTCCCTCAACTGTGAATGGGAAAAAATACTATTTCCTTGGATTTTTACATGTATAAATGTAATATAAAGCAGGCATCATACTCTATGACATAATAATAGTCAATAACCCTTCATTTTAAATGGCATCGGCCTGAGGAAGTAAAGAGATAGCTTTAGGGAAGCTAAGAGGTTCAGACAATTTGGCCTCTCAGTTACGTGCTTGAAAAGAGAAAAAAAAAAAAAAAACGGGAAGGGAATTTCACTAACAAACTCTGGTTGAATAGGACTTAGCTGATTAGGAAGAGTGGCTTTAGTCTGAGCTGAAGAGGTACACTGTGGTCCAGATGTAAAGGCTTTACTCATCCTGAGAAGGGGCTGAGTCAAAGTAGAAGGAAGACAGTGCAGACAAACTCAAAAGGCAGGCAGGCTGGTGATATGGACCTCGGGCTGGTCAGGGAATGGAGAAGCCAGGAAAGGGAGAGTGAGCTTGCAAATCCGTAATGTTCTTCATTTACTTATATGGTCAACACTATCCTGACCATTCAATTAAAGAAGTGCAGCCCCATTCCAGCACACCTTACTCTCTTCTAACTTCCTCCATAGTACTTACCACATTGGAACATGCTAAATAATCTACTTATTTATCATTCTTAGATATTATTTGTCTCTACCAGCTAGGATATAAATTCCAGATCACTGTGTCTTCAATACCTGTTGGACACTCAGAAAATATCTGTTGAAAGAATAAAGATTTAGCATGGTGCTTGGCACATAGTAGACACAATAAAGATTATTTGTTATTACTGTTATGCTTTTTCTTTTCATTCATTTTTTTCTCAAATTTTGTAAAATCAGGATCTTCCTAAAGCTACTGATAATGGAATAATGAAGATCTGCCTCCATCTTTTTTAGAAAAAAGAACCGAAATTTGGTTAGATCAATTACCTAAAAAAAAAAAATTAAACAGAAATACTACTCTAATCTTCAAAAAAACTATACTCGGGGTGCTTGGGTGGCTCAGTTGGTTAAGTGACTGCCTTTAGCTCAGGTCATGATCCTGGAGTCCCCCAGGATCGAGTCCCACATCGGGCTCCCTGCTCAGCAGGGGAGTCTGCTTCTCCCTCTGCCCCTCCCCCCCTCATGTGCTCTCTCCCTCTCTCATTCTCTCTCTGTCAAATAAATAAATAAAATCTTAAAAAAAAAACACTATATGCCATGGCATACTGGCCACAAATTAATCCATTATTTGGTCAAACAAATTTAGTTGTTAAATCAAACAATCATACCAAATATCTAAACTGGATGATAATTTGCTAAAATGAGTCTCATATTAACCTGTCTTTATGGATTTCATACACATTTTTATCTCTTTAAGACATGTTTTTTAGGGGTGCCTGGGTGGTTCAGTTGTTAAGCATCTGCCTTCAGCTCGGGTCATGATCCCAGGGTCCTGGGATCGAGCCCCGCATCGGACTCCCTGCTCAGCGGGGAGCCTGCTTCTCCCTTTCCCACTCCCCCTGCTTGTGTTCCATCTCTTGCTGTGTCTCTCTCTGCCAAATAAATAAATAAAATCTTTAAAATTTTTTTTTAAAAAGACGGGTTCTTTATTCACAAAAATAATATGAAGTCTATCTCTTCTGCTGTATAATAACCCCAAGGCCGAGTTGCCACTCGAGAGTAGGTACACATTTTAACTGATTTGTTAGCATTTAGAAATTTAGGAAGAAAATTAATGATGATGGTAAGTATAAGTAATAATCTTTCTCACCAGTGCAGTAGACATAAATTCACTCTAGTCAAAGTCAGCATTTGTCAAGCTGACCTACCTTGTCTTATGTTCTGTATTTCAGAGGCATAGAAACAGTAATTTGCTGAGCAATAATGTAGTTAGTGATGAACTAAACTTGACTTAACAATCTTCCTAATGACAGAAGGAAGGTACAGACTGTGACAGAAAGGGGGAAGGAGCACTGCCTATATCTTACGAAGAACTGGAAAAGCGACTGTGTGGTAGGGCACATCCCCATAAGTTGGTGACATAAGCTAGATCAGATTGTAAGGTCAGTGAAGTGAGAGGACCATAAACCATTCAGTTGCATTTTAGTATACTCCTTATAGGAAATTTAGAAAGAAAATTTTTAGGGGTGCCTGGGTGGCTCAGTTGGTTAAGCATCTGCCTTCGGCTCAGGGTCCTGGGATGGAGCCCCACATCGGGCTCCCTGCTCAGCAGGGAGTCTTGCTTCTCCCTCTCCATCTGCCCCTCCACCCTCCCACTTACGCACTCTCTCTCTAATAAATAAATAAAATCTTTAAAAAAATAGAAAAGAAAATTTCTACTCTCATTTTATATACTAAAGAGAATAAGGAAGATCTGGAGGCTTACAGAACTAGTTTTATTTCAGTAGTCTCAACAGAGTTGTACACTGGCTAGAAACTATGTATCATGCTGTTTGAAAAGGATTCTGTTTAGTTAGGCTGTACAGTCAACTGCTCTAATAAAAATATTTCAAATGCATCATGTCTCCACTTAATGTTTATTCATTCCTTCTAGAGAAAATATCTTGTTAGGGCTAAATTAGAAAATAATAGTATACATTGTGAACAATTAGCAGTTTCAAAGATAATGTTAACTAATGAATAATCCAAGTACAAAGGGCTTTACAGACAGGTAGAAAAATTGGCTTTAATTCCTTCTCATGCTGTGGTGAAGACTCTTCTCCACAATTTCT